ACCTGCATTCCCCATACAGATGGCTTAAAGGCCCTCCGCTTCTTCCTGTCCCACAGGCCCAACCAGTCCCCCTCCACTGACACACTCATCTGCTTAGCCAAACTTGTCCTCACCCTCAACAACTTCTCTTTCAATTCCTCCCACTTCTACAGACAAAAGGGGTGGCCATGGGTACCCGCATGGGCCCAAGCTGTGCCTGTCTCTTTGTAGGTTACGTGGAACAATCCCTCTTCCGTACATACACTGGCCCTAAACCCTACCTCTTCCTCCGTTACATTGATGACTGTATCGGTGCCGCCTCGTGCTCCCACGAGGAGCTCGAACAGTTCATCCACTTCACCAACACCTTCCACCCCAACCTTAAGTTCACCTGGACCATTTCTAACACCTCTCTCACCTTTCTGGACCCCTCTGTCTCCATCTCGGGCAACCACCTAGAAACTGATATCCATTATTTCAAGCCCACCAACTCCCACAGCTACCTAGAATACACCTCCTCCCACCCACCTTTCTGCCATCCCCTATTCCCAATTCCTTCGCCTCTGCCGCATCTGCTTGCAGGATGAGGCATTCCACTCCCGTACATCTCAGATGTCCTCGTCCTCGTTTTTCAAGGACCGCAACTTCCCCCCCTCAGTGGTCAAGAACGCCCTCCACCGTGTCTCCCGCATTTCCGGCAACTCATCCCTCACACCCTGTCCCCGCAATAACAACCAAAAAAGAATCCCCCTCATCCTCATGTACCACCCCACCAACCTCCGGATCCAACGCATCATCCTCCGACACTTCCGCCATCTGCAATCTGACCCCACCACCAAAGACATTTTTCCTTCCCCACCCTTATCTGCTTTCCGGAGGGACCACTCTCTCTGTGACTCCCTTGTCCGCTCCACACTCCCTTCCAGCCCCACCACACACGGCACTTCGCCCTGCAACCGCAGGAAGTGCTACACCTACCTCACCCCCATCCCAGGCCCCAAGAAGACTTTCCACATTAAGCAGATGTTCACCTGCACATCTGCTAATGTGGTATACTGCATCTGCTGTACCTGTTGTGGCCTCCTCTACATCGGGGAAACCAAGCGGAGGCTCGGGGACCGCTTTGCAGAACACCTACGCTCGGTTCGCAATAAACAACTGCACCTCCCAGTGGCGAACCATTTCAACTCCCCCTCCCATTCCTCAGACAACATGTCCATCCTGGGCCTCCTGCATGCCACAGCGATACCACCCGAAGGTTGCAGGAACAGCAATTCATATTCTGCTTGGGAACCCTGCAGCTCAATGGTATCAATGTGGATTTCACAAGCTTCAAAATCTCCCCTCCCCCTACCGCATCCCAAAACCAGCCCAGCTTGTCCTCGCCTCCCTAACCTGTTCTTCCTCCCACCTATCCCCGCCTCCCACCTCAAGCCGCACCTCCATCTCCTACCTACTAACCTCATCCCGCCCCCTTGACCTGTCCGTCCTCCCTGGACTGACCTATCTCCTCCCTACCTCCCCACCTACTCACCTTTACTGGCTCCATCCCCGCCTCTTTGACCTGTCTGTTTCCTCTCCACCTATCTTCTCCTTTGTCCATCTTCTATCCGCCTCCCCCCCTCTCCCTATTTATTTCAGAACCCCCTTCCCCTCCTCCATTTCTGATGAAGGGTCTCGGCCCGAAACGTCAGCCTTCCTGCTCCTATGATGCTGCTTGGCCTGCTGTGTTCATCCAGCCCTGCACCTTGTTGTCTCAGTAAACAAGTATAAACTGTCAATATTTAATACAACTAATCAACAATCTAATCCCCTTATAAACACTGTGCTTACTCTCTTTCTCGCATTCTCTCTCTCTCTCACTCACTCACACACACACACACACACACACAAAACAGAAGGAACTGGGAAAGCTGTAGAGTCGTCTTTGTCCTCAAGTTGTTGCTGTTCCTTCTTGGCTTCCCTTTTTCTGAATTCTGCCACTGGTTTGTGATAGGCCCAACATGACAGACCATCAGTTAAACCATTCACTGCCAGAGAGGGTTCAAAATATAAAATATCATTGGACATCTTCCATACAATATCGAAACAACAGCTCCTCCAACAGTGTAGTCTGGAACAAAAACAAAGTTGCTGGAAAAGCTCAGCAGGTCCCACCAGAGTCGAGTTTGGGGCGGCACGGTGGCTCAGTGGTTAGCACCGCTGCCTCACAGCGCCAGGGGCCCGGGCTCAATTCCATCCTCGGGCGACTGTCTGTGTGGAGTTTGCACATTCTCCCCGTGTCTGCGTGGGTTCCCTCCAGGTGCTCCAGTTTCCTCCACCATCCAAAGATATGCAGGTTAGGTGGATTGGCCATGCTAAATTGCCCATAGTGTTCAGGGACGTGTAGCTTAGGTGGGTTATAGGGGGATAGGTCTTGGTGGGATGCTCCAAGGGTCGGTGTGGTCTTGTTGGGCCGTAGGGCCTGTTTCCACACTGTAGGGATTCTATTCTATTCTATATATTGCTTGACGTCTGCTTAAACTTCTCATCATTCCAGCACTGTCCTGGAATGGAAACATAACATGTCCCCCAAAAATACTTGGTTTCTGTACTGCAAACCACTTTGGAAATTCCTCTTCAACCCAGTAAAGTGAAGAGTTTATGACTTGTCTTTCTCACTCATACCAAGGCCTGCATCCCTTGCTTCCATTATCATAGCCTCTAATGATCCTTTCCCACCCTAACTGAAGTTTGCATCCTTTTTCCTCATTCCTCTCCCCTCTCTGAGCTAATCTCATCCGTGAGAGCTGCCTCGTACACATTTAAGGTCTGAGCCACTCAGCTGCCCCTCCTCCTCCCTATGTTAGCTGATATTGTTAACGGCTCGCTTTCTCTTTATATTGTCCCCCTTTCCTTCAAAGTCAACACCATCAACCCTCTCTTCAAAGCAACAGCCCAATGTTCTCCCTCATTGGTTTTTCTGTTACGCTCAGGCCTGGTGATTTCAATGTGTGGTAATTGTGAATGACCTGTGCAGGCTGTTCACATGTACCTTTTGGCTGTTTGCCCACTCTATTGTACAAACTATCACCTTCTCCAACTTCCCATTCCTCCTTGAACACCTCTCAAATCCTCACCCACTTTGCCCAGAAATCCATGTGTGAATCTTTCTATTCAGCTTTATGTCCTGCTCTCATTATTGCGGGAGGAAAAGACCTTGTCAGATTCACAAATAACATCCAGTGTGTCAGTGACAAAAGTAATCAATCCCTCCTTGTGCTTCCTGACCTGCTTACAGCCTTCATCAGTTCACCACACCATTGTCCTCCAACACCCCTCTGCCAGGGAGGAACTGCATTCGCCTAGCTCTCTGCTCATCTGCCTAATTCCAGCCAGAGTGTTACTTACAATGGCTATTCATCCTGCTCTCACACCTCTGGTGTCTCCCAAGGATCCTACCCCATGCTGCCCCTCAGCAAACTTTTCCAAAAAGCCAGTCTCCATTTCCACATGATGAGCCCCCCACTCCTGCTCACCACCAGCTGTCTATCTCTCTCTCTCTCTCTCTCGCTCTCTCTCCCTCTCTCGCTCTCTCTCCCTCTGTCTCTGGTCTGCTCTACATTAGCTGGCTCTCTGTATTTCCGATTGCTTGTCCAACATTCTGCATAAGCAGAAACCCCCTCCAGTTAAATTATGGGAAGACTGAAGCCAATGCTTTCTTCTATCCCACCTATAAACTCTGCTCCCTTTAACCAGCTCCATGCCTCTCTGGTAACTGTCAGAGATTGAATCAGACCTTTCACAACCTTAGTGACATTTTTGACCTTGAGTTGAGCTGTCTACATTTTGTCACTAAGACCTTCCATTCTCCGTCTCTGTAACATCTCCCCTCCTGCCTCAGTTCGATACTGCTGTAAACTGCCTTTATAATCTCCAAATGTGACTGTTCCAACACAATCCTGGCTGACTGTGGACTACTTTCTGTAAATGTAAGGTCCTCCAAAGCTCCACCTACCCTGTCCTAACATCTCATCGAGTGTTGTCGATCAATCAGCTCTGTGCTCACCGAGTTACATCGGCTCCCAGTAAACTGACACCTTAGTTTCAACACTCCAATCCCTCGTCCCTGCCCTGTCTGGAACCTCGTTCAGCTTTCTAATTCACCCCAGTCTCTGCATTTCTCCAGTAATGGTCTCTTGAACAGTCTGAAATATTTCTCCAAAGCTCGGATGTGCTTTCAAGCTAATGAGTTCTGGAATGCCCCTCAAAGCCTCCCTCTCTGCCCCCTTCCCACTCTCATTCTCTCTCACACCCCCACCAACTTCTCGCTCCCTGTCTACCTTTCTCTCTCAAACTCCTTTCCTTCTCAGTCTCGCTCTCTTCCCCACTCAGACTCCTTTCCTATCTCCCCCTCCCCCTTCTCTCTCTTTCTCACTCTTTCTCACCCCTCCTCCTCACTCTCTTTCTCTATCCTCCTTCCTCTTCTCTATCTCACCTCCTCCTCCCCCATTTCTCTCTCTTCCCCTCAATCCCCTCACAGCTCCTCCCCTCTATCCCTTCCCAGCCCGTCCCCTCTCCTCTCTCACTCTTTCCCTCCCCCCTCCCCCTTCCTTCTTTCTCACATTTTCTCTTTCTGTCTCTACCCTCGCACCCCTCCCACCCAAGCTCCCTCCCCTCTGCCATCCCTCTTCCTCCCCGCCTTCTCTCTCTCCCCCTCCGTCATTTCCCTCCCTCTGCCCCTTTCACTCTCTCTCCGTCTCCCTCTCCCCCCTCCCCACTTACCCCTCTCTCTCTGTCTCTCTCTCTCTTTCCCCTCCTCCCTCTCCCCTCCTGTTAGGTTCTCCCTGGAACTTAGTTCCTTGGCCATGTAGTTGGTCAGCTACCTGTCCTAAATATCTCTTTTTGTGGCTCTGGATCAGATTTTCTTACATAATGTCCAGTGAAGTGTCTCTTGAGATTTATGATGCCTATATGCACACAAGTTGTTGTTGTTGGAATGATACAAGAATTCACATTGGGAGATTGTTTATCTGGAACAGGTGCTGGAAGTGAAAGCCAGAGAACTGTGCAAGAGCCAGTCTCCAGTGGGTGATAAGCTCAGCCTGAAGCAGAGAGAAATCCAGGAGAGTTGGCTTCGACTGCAGAAGGAAACCAAACTACGGTGAGTCAATCTCCCAGGGCACACAGTCCAAAGAAACATCTGAAAACAAAAAGCTAGCTTTTTCATATTTTCCCCTGCAATCTCAAGGGGTGTGTGTGTGTGTGTGTGTGTGTGTAATATATAGGAGTGTGTTGTAAGTATATACATATGAGTGAATGTATGTATATGGTCAATATGCATGAGTGTTTGTGCTTGAGTGTGTACGAGGAGGCATGTGGCAGATATAGACAGCTGGGATCGAGTGAACCCCTCAAGAAATATAAGGGCAGTAGGAGCATATTCAAGGGAAATCAGTTGGGCAAAAGGGGACATTCTTGGCAAATAGGGTTAAGGAGAATCCAAAGAGATTCCACAAATACATTAAGTAAAGAAGTAACTAGGGAGACTATAGGGCCCCTTAAAGATTAGCAAGGCTATCTACATGTGGAACCGCAGGAGATGGGTGAGATATTAAATGAGTATTTCACGTCAGTATTAACAGTGGAGAAGGATATGGAAGCTAGAGAACTTAGAGAAATAAACAGTGATATCTTGAAAAGTGTCCATATTACACAGGAGGAACCGGATGTCTTAAAACACACAAAGGTGTATAAATCCTGGGAACTGATCAGGTGTATCCCAGAACTTTGTTGGAAGAGGATGTAGACTTGCTCATCGAGCCGGTGTGTTTGATTGCAGACGTTTTGTCACTGTGCTAGGTGACATCGTCAGTGCGCCTCCAGTGAAGCGTCAGTGTTCTGTCCCACTTGTTATTTATAGCCTCGGTTTGAACATAGAACAGTGCAGCATAGTACAGGCCCTTCGGCCCATGATGTTGGGCTGACCTATTATCCTACTAAGATCAATCTACCCTGCATACCCTACATTTTACTATCCTCCATGTGCCTATCCAAGAATCGCTTAAAAGTCTGTAAAGTATCTGACTCCACTACCACTGCTGGCAGCGCATTCCATACGCCCACCACTCTGTGTGAAGAACCTGCCTCTGACATCTCCCCTATACCTTCCTCCAATCACCTTCAAATTATGCCCCCTCGTAATAGGGGTGGTTGGCATTATTTCCGGTTCTGTTTCTCAATGGTTTGCATATCGGGTCCAATTCAATGTGTATGTTGACGGAGTTCCGGTTGGAATGTCAGATCTTCAGGAATTCCCTGACATGTCTTTGGTTTGTGATATTATGGATGCAATTCCGGATTGCGCAAAGCAGAACAGAAGCACTTATATGGAGTTTTTAAAAGGAATGTATACCCAAAAAGCACAATCTGCCATTACCTCTGCGACAGACCACAACAAGAAGACACAACATGGCCAGACATACTAGTCAACCTACCGTAAAGAGACATATCAGAGATGACCACAAGACTACTCAGACCCCTAGGTATCAAAGTAGCCCACAAGCCAACAACCACCCAATGACAGCTACTGATGAATGTAAAGGATCCCATACCCACAATCAATAAAACCAACGTAATATTCAAAATACCATGCAAGGACTGTGAGAAACATTACACAGGCCAAACAGGAAGAAAACTGACAATAAGGATGCTTGAACACCAATTAGCCACCAAGAGACACGACCAATTCTCACTGGTCTCAATACACACGGACAAAGGAGGACATGAATTCAACTGGGACAACACATCCGTAATAGCACGAGCCAAATAGAGACATGCCAGGGAATTCCTGGAGACCTGGCATTCCAACTGGAACTCCATCAACCAACACATTGAACTGCACCCAATATACAAACCACTGAAAATCAGAACCAAGAAATAATACCAACCACCCCAGCAAAATGAGGCATATAAATAACAAGCGGGACAGAACACCAGCACTTCACCAGAGGCACACTAACGATGTTACCTAGTAGGGTGACGAAACGTCTGCTATCAAACACACTGGCTCGGTGAGCAAGTCTACAACCCCATCCACAATGCACGCTACAATTCTTCTCAAAAGTTTAGACTCTGTAGGAAGCTAGGGAAGTGATTGCTGGGCCCCTTGCCGAGATATTTGTATCATTGATAGCCACGGGTGAGGTGCCAGAAGACTGGAGGTTGGCTCATGTGGTACAATTGTTTAAGAAAGGTGGTAAGGAAGATCCAGGGAACTATAGACCGGTGAGCCTGACTTTAGCAGTGGGTAAGTTGTTGGAGGATTCAGAGGGACAGGATTTACATGTATTTGGAAAGGCAAGGACTGATTAGGGCGAGTCAACATGGCGCTGTGCATGGGAAATCCTATCTGACTAACTTGATTGCGTTTTTTGAAGAAATGACAAAGAAGGGTGATGAAGGCAGAGCAGTAGACATTGTCTGTATGGACTTCAATAAGGTGTTTGACAAGTTTCCACACGGTAGACTGGCTACCAAGTGTAGATTGCATGGAATCCAGGGAGAGTTAGCCATTTGGAAGCAAAATTGATTCAAAGGTAGGAGACAGAGGATGGTTGTGGAGGGTTGTTTTTTGGACTGGGTCCACTGTCATTTATATAAATGATTTGGATGCGAATACAGGAGGAATGGCTAGTCAGTTTGCAGAAGACGTGAAAATTGTTTGTGTAGTGGACAGTGAAGAAGGTTATTTCAGAGTACAATGGAACCTTGATCAGATGGGCTGAGGAGTGGCAGATGGAGTTTAATTTAGATAAATGGGAGGTATTGCATTTTGGTAAGGCAAGTCAGGGCAGGACTTACACAGTTAATGGTATAGTCCTGGACAGTGTTGCCAAACAAAGAGACATTGGGTGCAGATTCATAGAAAGTGGAGTCACAGATAGACATGGTAGTGAAGAAGGCGTTTGGCATGCTTGCCTTCATTGGTCAGTGCATTGAGTATAAAAGTTGGGATGTCATGTTGCAGTTGTATAGGACATTGGTTAGACCACTTTTGGAATACTGTATTCAGTTCTGGGCTCTCTGCTATGGGAAAGATGTTGTTAAACTTGAAAGGGTTCAGAAAAGATTTACAAGGATGTTGCCAGTGTTGGAGGGTTTGAACTATAGGGAGAGGCTGAATAGGCTGGGGCTGTTTTCCCTGGAGCAACAGAGGCTGTGAGTTGACCTTATAGAGGTTTATAAAATTATGAGGGGCATGGATAGGGTGAATAGCCAAGGTAATTTTTTCCAGGGTAGAAGAGTCCAAAAATAGAGGGCATAGGTTTAAGGTAATAGGGGAAAGATATAAAACAGACCTAAGGAGCAACTTTTGCACCAGAGGATGGTGAGTGTATGGAATGAGCTGCCAGAGGAAGTGGTGGAGGCTGGTACAATTACAACATTTAAAAGGTGTCCGGATGGGTACATGAATAAGAAGGGTTTAGAGGGTAATGGGCCAAATGCTGGCAAATGGGACTAGATTAACTTAGGATATCTGGTCAGCATGGACAAGTTGGACCAAAGGGTCTGTTTCCATGCTTTACAACTCTATAACTCTCTGTGCGTGTGTGTGCATGGCTCTGACTGACTGGGAATCTCTCCTGCTCTGACTACCTGTCAGAGGAGTATTGGAACCATATGATCAACATGTTTGACCGTGGTATGACACACTTTCCGAGTCCATCACATTCTCCGGTGGGACTTGAACCCTGAGCTTCTGGTCCAGATGTGAGGTCACTGCGCTCTGCACCTCTAGATTCACAGCAATCTGATAAATTTGCAGATAATCTGTTTCTCTGATCTAAGTTAGGGAATTAATATCGGTCAGTTTACCAGAGACAAGTCCCCGGCTCCATCACAACAGCTGCAGATCATTTGCTCCAATCTAGTGTGGTCTTGAACCCACAACCTTTTGACCCTGAGGCGAGACCATTCCCACTAAGGTGCAAGCGACAAGTGCAGGGAAGGCAATTTGGAATTTCAGGCCATTGAACCGAGTGCCTGCTGTGAGCAGAGTATTAAAAACCTTCTGGCAGAGGGCATAATGTAAGGCTTTAGGTCCCACTGTGGAACTTGTCTGAACATAGCAAAGCAGGGCACAGTAAGTTATGTAACGTAGAGATTGAATGTGAGTAGAAAATTAACATGAATGGAATAGAAGAGCAGCCCGTTATTTAAATAAAGAGAGACTGCAGAAATCCGAGGTATAGAGAGAGCTGGGTAACCTGACTCTCAAAAGGTTACCATATAGGCACAGCAAGCGATTAGGAAGGCAGCTGGAATGTTTTTGTTTATTTGAAGGGGAATGGAGTATAAAAGTAAGGATGTGGGGTCGCAGAATGTTTTTTAGGGCCGAAGTAGATAGATTCATGGCTAACAAGGGAATATTAGTGTGTCTGGGTACGCAGGTCCCTGAGGAGGAGGCTACAATCAGATTAGCCGTGGTCTTGCGGAAAGGTGGATGGGCTGAATGCTGAACTGCTCGCTCCCAACTTGTACGAGTCAAATCGAGATAAACAAGGGGAAGCTCTAAATGGAGTTAAGACCACTTTGCTCAGGCTCGTTAAGTGCATGTCCCAAAGACCAGTGCTGCAGATTGTGAGTTACTCTGAGACTGAGTTCACAGGGAGCAGTAAGCAGGGAGTCCTGGCAAGTTTAATGGTCAGCAGTAAACCAAATGTTAAAGGGTAGGTATGAGTGGGTAGGCGGGTGTGATAACAAGTGGCATTTAGAGTGGCAAAATGCAACGCAATGATAGTAAAGTATGAAAACAAACTGTGGGAATATAACTGGCTCCAGAACCCAAAATTCATGGAATCCGTACAGTGTAGAAAGGGACGATTCAGCCTATTGCATTTGCATCGACCCTCTGAAGAGCATCCCACTTATTCCCATAACCCTGTATTTAACATGGCCAATCCACCTAACTTGCACATCTTTGGACTGTGGGAGGAAACCGGAGCACCTGGAGGAAACCCGCGCAGGCACAGGGAGAACATACAAACTCCACACAGACAGTCACCTGAGGCTGGAATCGAGCCTGGGTCCCTGGCACTGTGAGGCAGCAGTGCTAACCACTGAGCCACTGTGTTGCCCATGAGAGGGATTTGGAGATACAGGTGAGGAATTCTCAACCAGTCCTAGAGCATATTGTGCAGGAGCGAGAGTGGGATTTGGAATCAGACTGTTGGATCATCAATCTCAAAGATTACTGTCTTAATGACAGTCTCAGTTGCAGTGTTATAGTTACGCTCACAGTCAATGTTTCAGGTACAGTTTCAACCTTGTGGACAAATTATGAGAAGCTGTGTTCAGAGATGAGTATATAAACTTGGGAGCAAGGTAGGCAATTCAATCCCTTGAGTCCATTCTACTATTCAGTAAGATCATAGCTGATCTGATTAACTTAACGTCATGTTCCCACATACGTTGCAAGTCCCATATTTGTTCTTTCTTTAGTTATTAACTTTAGTTTCAGCTGTTCCCTCACTTTTTGCAGGAAGGAGAAGCTGGAAGCCTCATACCAGCTGCAGAAGTTCAACAGGACTGTCCGGGAGCTGATGGACTGGGCACAGGCGATGGAAGGGCTAATGGGCCAAGGAAGTTTGCCCAAGAGTAAGCAAGAGGCAGACGCCATGATAGAGGAGCACCAAGAAAGAAAGGCAAGGTTATAGCCCCGGGATTGATCCAAACTAACTCCACCTTCCTCTCGGGGTATGACAAAGGGCCGATTACTGCAGCACTATGCTTAGTTTCTTTAAGATCAATATGTTGCATTTTATTAGCCTCAGATTGTCCTACTGTGCTGCAAACTGTTGGTGAATACATCCATTCTCAACAGAGAAAGTGTCACTGGGTTTGTGATCCAGAGGCCTCGACCATTGCTCTGGAAATGTGGGTTCAAATCCCACTATGTCAGCCAGGGGAACTTAAAATCACTTCATAAATAAATCTGATCTAACTCAATAGTCTTAATAATAATGACCGTGAAACTATGAGATTGTTGTAAACCCCACCTGAGTTCCCTTCAAGACCCTACCTGATTTGACTGGCAGGTGACTCCAGATCCACAACCAATGTGATTGACAGTTAACTGCCATTGAAAAGGAGCTGGAGTCAACTCTCAGTAGGAGTTCACTTGCTTCAGTTAGTGATGGACAATGAATGCTGGCCCAGCTAGTGATGTCCAGGTTCCCTCTAGAATAATCCACTAAGGATCTGGACGTCACGTGGATGGTTCATGTCAATCCACTGTAAGCTACTGAAAACCTCAACAGGAATGATCTCAAGCATAAAGTGGATTAGAGAAGATTAAGAGACAGTAGGAACTGCCGATGCTGGAGTCTGAGATAACAAGGTGTGGAGCTGGAGGACCACAGCAGGCCAGGCATTATCAGAGGAACAGGAAAGCTGACATTTCAGGTCTGGATTTTCTGAAGAAGTGTCCAGACCCGAAATGTCAGCTTTCCTGCTCCTCTGATAATGCCTGGCCTGCTGTGTTCCTCCAGCTCCACACCTTGTTATATTAGAGAAGATTAAGCAGTGCTGAACTTTTGGCTCTGTTCAATATACTAAAGGTTATAGCACAACCTGTCAAGGCTGAATTAGCCTTCACTGAAAACAGAAGAATGAATCATGTCCCTGTCACGAATGGTTGTAACCAGGGCCACCTTTGTTCACTTCATGAGATGTTGAGGAAGAGAATTGGAATGTTCAAGCTAATGTACATAACGGTTGCGCGCGCGCGCGCATGTGTTTGTGTGTATGTATGTATTTATAGTCATTAGAATCTGTATCTCTCTGGGTGAATGGAGGTTCTGAATGTGCTTTTGTGTTCATTGTGCATGTATCTGTGATTTTTTTGTCGACGTGGGTGCATTTCCATGTGTGGGAATTTTTGTGTGTGTCTGTGCATCTTTTGTCTGCATGCGTGACCATTTATATCTTTTTGTTTGTGGTGGTTTGTCTGTCTCTCTCTCTGGGTGTGGGTATCTGTTTGTATGAGTGTCTTGTGTGGGGGAAAGTCTGCAAGTGTGTGTGCATGTGTCTGTGTGTATTTTTGTCTGTGTTTCTGTGTGCGCGTCTGTGTGTGCATACCTTTGCATGTAGATATGCGTATGCTTCTGTGTGGATTCATGTGTTTACTTTCTGGTGTGTGTGCTTTCTGTCTGTGTGTTTGCATGTTTATTGTGTGTATTTTTGTGCCCATGTGTCTGTGTGTATTCTTATAGTGTACATGTCTGTGTGTGTATGTGTGTCTGTCTGTAATTTTTGACTCTGTGTGCATTTTGTGTATCTGTCTGTGTGTGTGTGTGTGTGTGTGTGTGTGTGTGTGTGTGTGTTGGTGGGTCTATGTCTGAGTTTGTGTCAATGCATGAGTGTTTTTTGTATTTTTGTATGCATACATACGTGTGTAATTTTTGTGTGCCTGTGTGTGCATTTTATGTATATGTCTGTGTGTCTATGTGTGTGTGTGTATTTTTGTGTGTGTGTTTGTCTGACTGTGTTTGTTTATTTCTTAGACTGAGATCCAGGCCAGAATGGAGCGTTTCGATGCAGTCAGGAATGTTGGTGTTCAGCTAGTGGCTGCAGGACACTATGCCTCGGCGGACATCAGGCAGTCCCTCGCGATGGTGGAAGAGACCTGGACCACTCTGAATGAGGCTTGGCAGGAACGCAGTACCAGGCTGGCAGAAGCCAGTGATCTGCAGGTGCGAGCGGGCGAGGAGAGGTCATACACCACATTCACACTGTCAATTAGTGACGGTGTAACATTTGGCCAGACATTGCTCAGCTACATACAGAGAATTAGAGAGAAATGGCACCACATCCTATGTAAACCCCAGGCAAGGTTCCCAGTGAGTCCTGCCACAGACAGCTGGCAGGCAGTAACCAGTTTATACCCAACTCAACGAGCAGTTATTCAAGTGCTCATCCACAGATGCTCACTGTGGGTTGGCAATTAGTAAATCAACAGCAATTTGTTCATTTTCATTAGCAACCTGAGAAAACATTGACAATGAAAACTAAAGTAATGCAGTTCCTGCTGTCAAATCTCAATCTGAGGATTGGGGATTTCAAACTTGCTCTCCTTGTTGGTATTAGATATAGGAACATACAAATTCAGCCCCTTGAACTCTTCCTCCATTTAATAAGGTAATGGCCGATCTGATTGTAACCTCAAATTACACATTCCCAACTGCCTCAATGACCTATCACTCTCTTGCTTATCAAGAATCTCCACCTTGAAAATATTCAAAAACTCTGCCTTCTCAGGAAGAGAGTTCCAATGAGTTGTGACTCTCTGAGAGAAACAAAATTCACTCAATCTCTCTTTTAAATGTACGATCCCTGATTTTTAAGTGACCCTGGTTCTAGATTCCCCCACTAGAGGAAACATCCTTTCCACAACCACCCAGTCAGGTCCCCTCAGGATCTTGGATGTTTCACTTAAGTCACCTCTTGCTGTTCTAAACTCAGGCAGATACAGGCCTAGCCTGACCAACGTTTCCTCATAAGACATCCTTCCCATTTCAGGTATTAGTCTAGTAAATCTTCTCTGAACTGCTTCCATTCTTTTTAAGTAAGGAGACCAATAGTGTATGCAGTACTCCGGATGTGGTCTCACCAGAGGTGAGACATGTGTAAACTACTCTTCAATTGATTTGCCATTTGCTTATTTTCAATTATTAATTATCCAGTCTAATTTTTATAGGACCTTTGTTAACTCTCTCTTTAAATATGTGTTTGTATTTTTGGCTAGCTTTCTCACATATTCTAATTATTCCCTGTTTATTAATTTGTAGGTCATTTTTTTGTTTTCTTTTATATTCTGTACTGTCTTCTACCCTGTCATTTGTCTTTGCACAATTATATACATTTTCTTTAAATTTGATATTATTTTTAACAGTTCTAGTTAACGACAGATAGTGAGTACATCCCTTGGATTTTTTCTTACTCTATAGAATGTGCCTGTGCTGGATATTCTGAAATATCCCCTTAAATCTGCCACTGCATCTCTATAGACTCATCATTTGACCTAATTTGCTAATCGCTTTAGCCAGCTCTACTTTCATGCCCTCAATTATCCTATTTAAGATTAGAAAACAGTTTATATTATGATTACTGCTACCTATAGTGCCTTCACTATGAGATCTTTAATTAATCCTGCGTAATTGCACAATAGTAAATCTAGTAGAGCCTGCTGTTTGGTCGCCCTTCTGTCAATTTGCATGTGGCTGAGGTAATAATGCAGTCTTACTTCTTAACTTGGTACCTAGCTCCTCATACTGACTGTGCAAAATCTCCTACTTTTTCATATCCTAACCCGTGCTTGAATACGTGACAATAAAATCTAAACCTAAATTCAATCTAAATTTAAATATCTTTGCCATTGGTACCTACATGAACTATGATGTTAGATCCACTCCAAGTTCCTCCCCAGCCCTGAGCAGATACTCCAAACCTCGGTACCAGGTAACATAGCAGTCTGGACTGTTGCTCTTTGCTCCAGAGAATAGCATCGATCCCCCTCACTATACTGTCCCTGATTGCCTCTACATTCCATCTTACACCTCTGTGTTGAATGGTTGCTATACTGTGGTGTTATGGTGATTTAGTTCATCCACCCTGCAGCTCCCACTCTCATCCAAACAAACTGAAATAACCTCAAACCCGCTGAACATTTGCAAAGGCTCCGGTGCTCTGGATCCCCTTCGCTGCTTTACTCGCAGTCACACTGCCCTGTCCCAGAGCACAGGCCACAGGAGGGGAAACAGTTTGAAGATTTGTTATCGATGCAAATAGCGAAGATACGATCCGATTCTCTGGGAGCAGTTTAAGGGTCTGCCCACTGGGAGAGAAAACTGCAGCCAGGATCTTGATGGTGTAATGCAATTCGTGTCACTCCACAATGTGACTGATTGTCTCAAAATGTGTGCTGCTGCTACTTCACTCAGTGTGTGAATCAGCAGAGCTGCTCTCTGTCTGGATATGACTGTGCCCATTTCTGGACATGGTTTATTCCTGATCTCCACTGTTGTATGCCTTGAGGTGCAGGGAGTGGCAGCGTCAAAACTCCTCTGCCTGACAGACAGACAGCAGTGTAACCTCCTCTGTTCAGGATAAATCACTGTCGCTTCACAGAAATGTGTCTGAGCTGACTGGGGGGGGGATGCTGACGTTGTGTGGTTCTGAGTGCCCTGGGGACGGCCTTGAGAATGATCTTAAACAGTGCATTTGAGTCGTCTTGAACCAGCTCATGATGTGGTGAAACTGTTGTGTGTTGCAGATATTCTATGGTTACGTGGAGCAGAGTGAGAGCTGGCTCAGCAACAAAGAGGTGTTCCTGGCTAATGAAGATAAAGGGGTAGGTTTCTCATCGGTAAATGGCAACATCACCAGGTTGTACGAGGGATGGGCACTGGAGACCCCGCACGTGGACTTTGTGCATCCAAACAATTCCTTGTTTTTCATAAGTTTGTGCTGATTAGGAGTAAAACTGCTGGATCCTGGAAATGGGTGGTTTGCAATTCAGACACCCAGTGGGACATCTACTTTCTGTGTGTGTGTATATGTTTGTGTGTGTGTGTGTGTGGGGTGGGGTTGGGGTATGGGGCACAGTGGATCAGTCTCTCAGAACAAGGATGGCACTTGTTCATAGCAAGAGCCCATATGTGCAGTCTATTAACATGGGGAAACTGTTGTACTGAATTTACTGCACTTTTCTGCACAGCCAGGAAACTCTCCTGCATTTACCACCTCTGCTTTATTCATTCACGGTGGCACTGACTGGGTCAGCATTTATTGCCCATCCCTAATTGCCCAGTCAGCCACGTTGCTGTTGTTTGGAGTCATATGTAGGCCAGAGCAGGTAAGGATTGCAGTTTCCTTCCCGAAAGGGCATTACAGAATCAGATGGGTTTTTCCCCCAACGGTCATCATTAGACTCTTCATTCCAGATATTTATTGAATTCAAATTTCACCATCTGCCGTGGCGGGATTTGAACACAGACATTACCTGGGTCTCTGGATTAACAGTCCCGCAATAATACCACCAGGCCATCGCCTCCCCAGGTTTACTACCTGCCGTAGGCTTCTTGGGAGGGTTTAGAGATGGACAATTAACTTGTTTTGCTGTTTTATATCTCACTTTCCAAAGCCATTAGAGGTAAGGGCACTGTGCCACACAACCACCCCAGTGCAGGAATAGTGTCCATTATGCCAGTTAGTGAGCTGGGTGCCAAAGGGGGCAGGAGGCCTAAGTTTATCAACATAACCAAGTCGATTATGTTAGTGAGTGGGTTCGATGATTCATTGCGGATGGTTTGCCACTCGGGCCAACGCTTATTCCCAGTCAAACTGAACCAAACAGATTTTTTAATAGTACCACTCAAAACAAGTGGCAGGTGAATTCATTTGCAAAACCCCCCCAGACCACCCAGGAAAATTCAGCTGCAGAGGTGACCAATCAGAGAAAGGTCACTCGTGTAACAAGAATGGAGTTGCTATTGCTCCAATCAGAGGCAACATCTGTCAGGTGCTCAGTACTGAAACATTCATGAGTGTGCCAAACCCTAGGAGGGGGCAGGACCAGTTTGTGATTAGAGGAGCAATGAGCAAGGGTACACTAGAAAGGGCGGGAGGAGGAGGAGGAGGGGAAGAAGCTTAAACCCCAGAGGGAGTGGAAGGGAAGAGAACCTGCCAATAGAAGGTTGAGTTCTGGAGAATGGGGGATGTGGCAGGAGGCCACACGTGGGTGGAGGAAATAAGAAGGTTGCAAAAGAAAGGGAAAGGCTATAAGGGGGAAAGGAGAGGCTACAAGAGATGGGGGACAGAGCAAAATGCATGGGTGGGAGAGGTAAGTTACAAAGGGGGGAGTGGGACGCTGCAATGAGGCAGTGAGGGGGTTCAAGTTTAATGAAGAAATATTCAGCTATCCAAGATCCAGGAAAACTTGAGCTTACTGAAGTCATAAATTCTTTGGGAATGAACATGGAATCTTTAGCTTGAGGATCCATAAGTTGTGGAACTACTGTGCATTGCACACATGTAGTGGGTGCTATTGGAATGAACACTGTCAGTTGTTAAATTGAAATCTGAGATTGAGGTTTGAGATGCAATAAAAATGTTAAATGCCTGGTAGATCTTCCAGCTTTGTCTAAGTGGTATTATCAGTAGACAATTAATCCAGAGACCAAATGAATTGCAAATGAATTTTTTTTAAAATCTAGGATTAAGAGTCTAATAATAACATGAAACTGTCACTGATTGTCAGGAAAATCCCAGCTGGTTCACTCAAGTCCTTTAGGGACGGAAATCTGCCATCCTTACCTGGTCTGGCCTATAGGTGACTCCAGGCCCACAGCAACGTGGTTGATTCTTAACTGCCCTCTGGGCAATTAGGGATGGACAATAAATGCTGGACTAGCCAGCAAGCGCTAACATCCCGTGAATGAGAAAAGAAATAATGGAGAAACACCAGTCTGTTTAGGGTTAGAGATAGTAGGAACTGCAGATGCTGGAGAATCTGAGATAACAAAGTGTAGAACTGGATGAACACAGCAGGCCAAGCAGCATCATAGGAGCAGGAAGGCTGACGTTTCAGGCCTAGACCCTTCATCAGAAATGGGGGAGGGGAAGGGGGTTCTGAAATAAATAGGGGGAGAGGGGGAGGCGGATAGAAGAGGGATAGAGGAGAAGATAGGTGGAGAGGAAACAGACAGGTCAAAGAGGCGGGGATGGAGCCAGTAAAGGTGTTTAGGGAGGGGATAGGTCAGTCCAGGGAGGACGGACAGGTCAAGGGGCGGGATGAGGTTAGTAGTCTGTTTAGGGTGATTTTTTTTTTTTGTATGTTCCAGTAATTTTGAACAAAATTATGCCCATTGTCTTGTGCCAAATCATACGCTGAGGTGTCTAAGAAATTTATGCTTTCCTTTAGTGTTGTGACTTTAAGTTGAAAGAATAATGATGAATTCTTCTAATCCAGTTTCTGAATCAAAATACCCAGGCTTTCAATGAAAGTGGCCACATCACCTAATAAATGAGTTAGCAAGAATGAAAAAAAAAAGTACCCCTGAAAATCAAAAGGTAGCCCCCAAAAATCAAAAGCTCTCAGTAAAATTTAAAGAGCTCTCAAAACAATAATAATTTGCAGCTGGTTCCAGCCTGCGGGTGAAAAAAAATAAACAATTGAAATTGAGCCAGAAGGTGTCCTCAACCGAGTCCCAGATTTTGTTTCAATGTTCTGAAAATCTGTAAAACCGATTCTGACAGTTGGCTTTACTACCCTGTTGCAGGATTCGCTGACAAGTGTGGAGAATCTACAGCACAAGCACGAGCAGTTTGAGAAAACAGTGGAAGCTCAGATGGAAAAGGTGAACCTGATGGAGAGGTTTGCATTACAGCTGAAGCAGAACAATCATTCTGCCTGTGCGCAGATCATCCTCAAGTGCCAAGCTGTTCTGCAAAGGTATCGTATAGCGCTCGCACTGTAGATAAATATTCCGTTAAGGATGCTCATGAGCTTATTACTGCATCGCTATGCTATTTCTCGGACTCAAAACATTGACTCTGTCTTTCTGTTTCTCCACCAATGCTGCCAGATCTGCTGACCTTCTTTAGCACTTTCTGTGTACACATCTGTCATCCTGTTTGTTACAGACCCTCTCAGGTCCAAAGGCCAATCCCACATCTTCACTGAGTTAACTGAGTTGAGTTACCATGACTGGTCTCCTTGACTGTGCCCCCGCCCCCAGGCTGTGCAAAAGTTCAGGATCAAGGAAACATTAAACAGTGAGATGTCATTACAAGATCAAGGCTTATGAAATAATGTATTATTAAGGATCATATTGAACAGTGCAGTGTTATTACAGAGCTGTCAAATACTTGTGTCTTATTGCGGGATCCACGGGATATTAAACTGTGTGGGTTAGAGGACCAGACAGACAATCTGGAGTTGTTTCAGGATCCTGGGGGATATTAAACAGTGGAGAATTGTTACAGGACCGTATAAATATTTGGGGTGTTTGATATGAGATTCTGGGGGATATTAAATATTTGGGTAATGTTGTTAGTACACATTGGGATATTAATACAGAATCATGGGGATATCAGATATTGTGGTACTTTACAGGATCATAGGAATATTAAACAGTAGGGTATTTTTACAGGATTAAGGCAGTATTAAACAATACAGTTTTATTACAGGCCTGTGGAGCTTTCAATTATTTGGGTGTTTTTGCAGTATCCTGGTGATATTAAACAGTGGGATGTTGTTACAGGATCAGGAAGGTATGAAATATTTGGGAATTATTGCAGGATCATACTGATCTTAAATATTGTGCATCTATTTATTACAGGATTATGGTGATATTAAATTTGGGTTTAATTGAAGGATTATATGGATTTTAAACATTGGGGTATTATCAAAGTATTGTAGATTTGAAATAGGTTAATATAACAGAATCCTGGCGATATTAAATATTGGGTTATTATTACAGGATCCTAGGGATAGTAAACTGTGGGGTAATTTTACTGGATTGGAGAAGGTGAAATAGTGGGTATTATTACAGGATCCGTGTGTTATTACCAGAGTTCCAGGATCATAGCAATATAAAATAGTGGAGTAATATTACAGGATCATGGTGATTTGAAATGATGGGATGTTATTTTAGGATCATAGTGATATGAAACAGTGGGTGTTATTAAAGGATCGTGGGCATTTGAAATTATGAGATATTGTTACAGGATCATAGTGATATGAAATAGTGGAGTATTATTTTATACAAATCCATGTCACTTAACAGAAGAATAGGAATAGAAATGTACCAGTCAGTCCCTTGACAACAACAGAAGTTGCTGGAAAAGCTCAGCAGGTCTGGTAGCATCTGTGAAGAAAAAACAGAGTTAATGTTTTGGGTCCGGTGACCCTTCCTCGGAACACAGATGCTGCCAGACCTGCTGAGCTGTTCCAGCAACTTCTGTTTTTGTTCCTGATTTACAGCATCCGCAGTTCTTTCGGTTTTTAGTCAGTCCCTTGAGCCTGTTTCACCATTTAATTGATGCCATGTCAGATCTTTCCCTTAATTCCATCCAACTACTTTGGTTCTATGTCTCTGAACACCCCATCTATTAGATACTGTACCAATCAATCTCATGATGAAATCCTGCTGACCCTGAGCCTGAACAGCTTTCTGGATATCAGGGTGCAGATTTCCCATTCTCTTTGTGAGAGCAAGTGCTTTCTGACATCATCCCTGAGCAGCTTGGCTCCAATTTTAAAATCATGTCCCTTCCTTTGATTCTCCGACCAAAGGAAACAGATTTGAACTACCCTGAAACATTGTTTAATCATCCCAAACACTGTAAAGAGATCGCCCTTAATCTTGTAGTTTCAATGGAACATAAACCCACTCAATGCAAGACAACAAGGTGCAGGGCTAGATGAACACAGCAGGCCAAGCAGCATCATAGGAGCAGAGAGGCTGACGTTTCGGGCCTAGACCCTTCATCAGAAATGGGGGAGGGGAAGGGGGTTCTGAAATAAATAGGGAGAGGGGGGGAGGCGGATAGAAGATGGATAGAGGAGAGGATAGGTGGAGACGAAACAAACAGGTCGAAGAGGCGGGGATGGGGCCAGTAAAGGTGAGGGTAGGTGGGGAGTTAGGGAGGGGATAGGTCAGTCCAGGGAGGACGGACAGGTCAAGGGGGCGGGATGAGGTTAGTCGGTAGGAGATGGAGGTGCGGCTTGAGGTGGGAGGAGTGGATAGGTGGGAGGAAGAACAGGTGAAGGGTCTAGGCCCGAAACGTCAGCCTCTCTGCTCCTATGATGCTGCTTGGCCTGCTGTGTTCATTCAGCCCTGCACCTTGTTGTCAGGGACGAGCTGGACTGGTTTTGGGATGCGGTACGGGGAGGGGAGATTTTGAAGCTTGTGAAATGGCCTTAAGGCCCTCCACTTCTTCCTGTCCCGCAGGTTCGACCAGTCCCCCTCCACTGACACCCTCATCCGCTTAGCCAAACTCGTCCTCACCCTCAACAACTTCTCTTTCAATTCCTCCCACTTCCTACAGACAAAGGGGGTAGCCATGGGTACCCGCATGGGCCCAAGCTACGCCTGCCTCTTTGTAGGTTACGTGGAACAATCGCTCTTCCGTACCTACACTGGCCCTAAACCCCACCTCTTCCTCCGTTACATTGATGACTGTATCGGCGCCGCCTCGTGCTCCCACGAGGAGCTCGAACAGTTCATCCACTTCACCAACACCTTCCACCCCAACCTTAAGTTTACTTGGACCATCTCTAACACCTCTCTCCCCTTCCTGGACCTCTCTGTCTCCATATCAGGCAACCACCTAGAAACCGATATTCATTTCAAGCCCACCGACTCCCACAGCTACCTAGAATACACCTCCTCCCACCCACCTTTCTGCAAAAATGCCATCCCCTATTCCCAATTCCTTTGCCTCCGCCGCATCTGCTCCCAGGATGAGGCATTCCACTCCCGTACATCTCAGTTGTCCTCGTTTTTCAAGGACCGTAACTTCCCCCCCCTCAGTAGTCGAGAACGCCCTCAACCGTGTCTCCCACATCTCCCGCAACTCATCCCTCACACCCCGTCCCCGCAATAATAACCAAAAAAGAATCCCCCTCATCCTCACGTACCACCCCACCAACCTCCGGATCCATCATCCTCCGACACTTCCGCCATCTGCAATCTGACCCCACCACCAAAGACATCTTTCCCTCCCCACCCTTATCTGCTTTCCAGAGGGACCACTCTCTCCGGGACTCCCTTGTCCGCTCCACACTCCCCTCCAGCTCCACCACACCCGGCACTTTTCCCTGTAACCGCAGGAAGTGCTACACCTGCCCCCATACCTCCTCCCTCACCCCCATCCCAGGCCCCAAGAAGACTTTCCACATCAAGCAGATGTTCACCTGCACATCTGCCAATGTGGTATACTGCATCCGCTGTACCCGGTGTGGCCGCCTCTACATCGAGGAAACCAAGCGGAGGCTCGGGGACCGCTTTGCAGAACACCTACGCTCGGTTCGCAGTAAACGACTGCACCTCCCAGTCGCGAACCATTTCAACTCCCCCTCCCATTCCTCAGACGACATGTCCATCCTGGGCCTCCTGCAGTGCCACAACGATGCCACCCGAAGGTTGCAGGAACAGCAACTCATATTCCACTTGGGAACCCTGCAGCCCAATGGTATCAATGTGGATTTCACAAGCTTCAAAATCTCCCCTCCCCCTACTGCATCCCAAAAACAGTCCAGCTCGTCCCTTCCTCCCTGACCTGTTCTTCCTCCCACCTATCCCCTCCTCCCACCTCAAGCCGCACCTCCATCTCCTACCGACTAACCTCATCCCGCCCCCTTGACCTGTCCGTCCTCCCTGGACTGACCTATCCCCTCCCTAACTCCCCACCTACACTCACCTTTACTGGCCCCATCCCCGCCTCTTTGACCTGTTTGTTTCCTCTCCTCTATCCATCTGCTATCCGCCTCCCACTCTCTCCCTATTTATTTCAGAACCCCCTTCCCCTCCCCTTTTTCTGATGAAGGGTCTAGGCCCGAAACGTCAGCCTTTCTGCTCGTATGATGCTGCTTGGCCTGCTGTGTTCATCCAGCCCTGCACCTTGTTGCCTCGGATTCTCCAGCATCTGCAGTTCCTACTATCTCCCACTCAATGCAATCTGTCTTAGTGATTTAATCTTTTAACAAACACAGAGTATGAATCTTCTTCAGAACTAGGGTTTGACCCAGTCACTCCAGATGTCATATGAATTATACAACCACACTGTAATTCCTACATCTTTGCATTCTAGGCTTCCTGAGATAATGCCAAGTATTTTATTTGCCTTTCCAATTACTTTTTCTGCTACCTTTTGTGGTTTCTGTACATGGGCCTCTTGGACTCTCTGTTCTTCCATTATTCCCAGAATTCCATATTTAGAAAATACTCTCACCTCTCTTTCCAAGTGTCAACATAGAGGATCTCCCCCCTGCCTCACATTAAATTCCATTTGCCAAGTTCTGCCCACTCACTTAACCTGTCAATGCTCCTTTTCCTACTCCCATCTATAATGTTTGCTTTACCACCTAACACAGCTCTCCACTACTTCTTCCAATCCATTTATAAATATAGTGGAAGGTTGAGGTGCCAGTGCAGGGGATAATTCACAATCTGCCAACTGGTATACACATCCATTATCCCTACTCTCTAGCTCCCACCTCTTGGATCACCCCTTACCCATGTCGATAGGTTGTGAAGAGTTGGTCAGTAGTGCAGAAGTTAAACATTGCTAAAAGGAGATGTAAAATTGAGGCTTTTCATCTTGCACTCATCAGGATAAGAAACAGATTTGAACAAAGGCACATTGATTGATGCAGCATGTGTAGAGGGTGCTGACTAGCTGGACAATTATTGGCCTGGAGCTGTCAGTGTTATCAGTTCGAGTGCAGTGCGATGCCTTCACATCTGCTTAACTCCCTGTTTTATATCATCAAACAGAATTTGTACATACAGTGCACCCTTGGAGGTAAAAAGAATCATGGTAACTTCCAATCTCTGTTGCATTCCCATGGCAGTGCCCTCACCTGTCTGGGTTGACAAACTAAGATTGACATTTTAACTGTAGTATCTCCATGTTATCGATGGGCCAAAATCACCACCGCCTTCTCATGCTCTATAAATCGGTGTCCCTTTCTTCCTGTCTATTTCTTGTGTTGTAATTCCGATGGGTGCAGGATACAAAGCTTTGCCTCTCAGTTTCCATTGTTCAGAAGGTTGTGTACAATTCCCTATGATGTTGTTTTTATTTTTGCATTGTGCCTGATAGGAAAGAACTCTGCAGAAAGAGCTCTTCCCTCAGGAGATTAGTGAGTTCCTGTTGAGTGTATGTGCAAGCAGTGAACACACCAGCCTCCTCGTTCCATTTGCACAACCTTTTGATTAACAGTTATGTGTCTGGCTGCTGACATTTAACCATGCATTCTTGCCCTACAGTTATCTATCTTTTTATTCGTATTATCTCTTAGAAAACAGAAGTTGCTGGAAAACAGCGAACAGCGCAGAAAGGTCCTGGATCAGTCCAAACAGCTGCAGATGTTCCTGAGAAGTTCGTATGAGGTAAGAGGCCCCATCACTGTACAATACCAGACCCTGTAAATAAACTGGATCATACTGGACTTTGTTAATAAACTGAATCATACTGGATCCAGTTAATAAACTGGATCATAGCGAACCCAGTTAATACACTGAATCGTACAGGACCCAGTTAATAAACTGAATCGCATCAGACTCTGTCAATAAACTGTATTGTCCCAGATCCACTTAATAAACCAAATTCGATCAGACCCTATTAATAAACCAAATTGTTTTACTTACAACCTTTATATTACATTATTTATTCAATAAGAGATTGTTGAAAGGATTGTTTCCTTCAAATGAACAATAATCGATTGCCCATCTACCTGTTTTGGTTCTTAAAACCCTTTGCTGGAAAGGAAAGTTGTTTGGATGCACAGCCTCTTTAACCTAGATGTGGATGCTTGATGCTGGTCAGTACATGCCCGCTAGCTTCTAAAACTACTTTTGATCCAAAGAGAGGGCAGAACATATTGAGTGAGACTAGTAGATGATCATATTTTAACCAGAGGGCACGATAACCTTGAGCTCTGACAGTGGGCACCTGAACTACAATTCATTCGTAAATTAACAGTGAACTTCCACCATGTTTACATTATAACATTTGAGTGCTGCTGCTTCAGCAGGGGGCAAGAGGGAGTGCGAGAAAGTAATCTCATTTTACAGAAAGATCCCACAGCAATTGATGTGCAGTTACTATTTTCTCTTTGCCCTTTCGTGGGATATGGGTGTCGCTGGCACAGCCAGCATTTGCTGCCCATCCCTAATTGCCCTCGAACTGAGCGACTTTCTGGGCCGTTTCAGAGAGGGGAACAGCTCAGAGTCAGTCGCATTGCCATGGGCCTGGAGTCACATGTAGGCCAGACCCAGTAAGGGTGGCAGATTTCCTTCCTTAGTGAACCAGATGGGTTTTAATGAGAATCAACGATGATTTCGCAGTCGCCGTCACTGATGGCTAAACGTCGGTTATGAGGTTTAGTCGTTGAATTAAAATGCGAGAAGAACACACGGTGGGATTTGAACCTGTGTCCCCAGAACATTACTGGACCAGCGAAATTACCACCATCTCACCTGTAGTGTGGTGTAGGAGGTGGCCTTGACAACAACTATCTGACCATGACCAGGATAAATCCCTTGCTGTTCCTCAAAACGGTACTACCTGGCTATTACCCATCCAGCTGATAGATTTCGCATTTCTGCAGAAAGATAGTCAATATTTTTGTCGATCCACGCAGTTCGGAGAGTCGGCGGATGGGGGGGGGGTGGGTTGGGGGGTTTGTGGGGCGGTGGATGCGGCTGGAAGGCTGGGGATGTTTGTGTGTTCTACTGGCAGTCTGATGGTTGTGTTTTTATTTTCTACCCCCTACCCAACAAACCCGACAGGCTATTTCATGGCTGAATGAGAAGATCGGTGTCACCCTGGACGAGAGCTGGACAGATCCCAGCAACCTGCAGGGAAAGCTGCAGAAACATCAGACCTTCGAGGCTGAGGTCATGGCCAACCAGAACCGGATCCTCAGCATCAACACGGTGAGTGCCTCCGCACGGAATTTGACTGGCGCCGCAGCCAGGATCCCTCGTGCCACCTGGCTGCAACAAGATACGTTGGTGCGGCAGGGAAACTGGCAGCTTGGCACCAGCGTCTCGACACGCCGGAGGGACAGTTTTGCCTGCAGTCGAGGGGCCGCGCCAGTGCAGGGCCAGTGTAAAAGGGCACCTTTTTTATTTATATAAACCCCTGCCCCCACCCGCTACCCCACCCCCCCCCACTACCCCCAACCGGCCAAATACCTGATTCAGCATTTCAACCTTTTTTCACATGCCGCAATTTCAAATGCTCCTGTCCTTTTCTGGTTCGTTTGATTTCTGTGTGTCATTTTTTTTTCCTGCTTGGGGTATTCAGCGGCAGGCTTGGGGTACTGAGGGTGGGGGCGTTGAAGTCCCACCAACAAAGCGGGAAGCGTCGGGACCACGGAGTGCCAGCACCCACGACAACTGGGGGGGGGGGGTGCAGGGGGTGCGGTGGGTGGAGGGGGTGATGGCGGATGGCACTCTGGTCTGAAAAGGGCAGGCAGCCTTAGCGGCATCACTGGCGCCCACCGTCAGGGGAACGGATAGCCAAAAGGCAGAGGTGCCCTTCCTGGAGGTGGGGAGTTGTGGTCAGGGACAGCTGGGGACAGAGTGGACCCAAGGGAGCGTCCGTCATGGTGGGCCTGATGGGAGGCTGCCCAGCTTTAGGGCCTGGTATGTGAACAAACTCAGTCTAGTCTACAGTTTGTCTAACTGCACAAGTTACAATACTCAGACCTGTAATCAGCAGCTGTTGAGACTGAAACGCTTCGTTTCCCCCGAAGGGCAATTCTCCCTGATTCCCAGATTGGCCACATCCACTCCAGAAATGAACAGGAATAGACTGTTCAACTCCCTGAGCCTTTAACCACAGTCCGGTTCGATCACGGCTGCTGTACGCCAGATCCCATTCTCCCCCTTCTTTGTTCTACATCCAACGACGAACACGAATCTATTAGTTCGCAAATAACGTCCCAACATTCACAACCCTTTCGGGAGTGGATTTCAGTCACCCACTCTGAAATTTGTTCTGATTTCCCTTGGACTCATAGAGACAGCACAGCATGAGCCCACCGCGTCCAGTTATCCACCTATTCTAATCCCATTTTCCAGCATTTGGCCCGTATTTGACCAGCCACCTTGCAGGATGTGGTGTTTCAAGCACTGGTCGAAATAGTTCTGAAAGGTTTTGAGGGTTCCGACCTCTTACCATCCTCTTAGATCATGAGTTCCAGATATCCACAATTCTTCTGGTGAAAACTATTTTCCTCAAATCCTCTCTAAACTTCCTGCTCTGTGCCTTTAAAACCAGTCCCCCCTGGTTACTGACCTCTCTGCCAAGGGGAAAAGATTATGTCTATTGAGCAGATCTATGCCCCTCATAACCTCGTACACTTCAACCAGCCTTCCCTCCTCAAGGAGCCTATCTGGTCTCTCTCTTCGTTGCTGAAATGTTCCGGCACGGACAATGTCCGGGTGAATAAAAACTGAAAGAATGTGGCGGATGCTGAAAATCAGGAACAAAAAACAGAAATTGCGGGGAAGGCTCAGCAGGCCGGGCAGCACCTGTGGAGTGAAATCAGAGTCAACCTTGCGGGCACTGAACTCGAGACGTTAACTCTGCTTTCTCTCCACAGATGCTGCCATGCCTGTTGCACTTTTCCAGAGAAATTTCTGTTTTTGTAATGATTATCTGGATGAATATCTTCCACAGTGCAGTCACATCCTTCCTATAGTGTGGCGTCCAGAGCTGCGCACTCCTCCAGCTCTGGCCTAACCAACGTTTTAAACAGCTCCATCGTAAAATTAATAGGGCCCTTGTGATGGAGCGGTAGCACCCCTTCCTCTGGGTTGGGAGGCCTGGGTTCAAGTCCCACCTGCTTCAGAGGCGTGTATCAACACCCCTGATTGGAAAATATCCAGCTCTTAAATTTCGGATTTTACGTTCAAAACTCAGCTACCAGAGAGAGTTGCTCCCATTAACTATCTTAAACACCTCAATGATTTCACCTAAAGCTGCACAAATCAAGGGGGTGCCAATCTGGTCCCCATTGCCACATGGTCCCTGCCCGTTTCCTGTGGTGGTATTAGAATTCTGTTGTGTGTGGCGTGCTCTTGGAAATATTGATTGTGACTCGACCCCACTGTAGGAAGGTGAGCGTATGATTGAGGCTGGGCACTATGCTGTAAAGGAGATCGAACCCCGGATGAAGCGGATTCAGGAACTGTGGAGCGAACTGCTGGAAAACTGCCAGAATAAGAAATCCAAGCTGGTCGATGCGCACAAGGTATTTGAACAGCATCGCGCTCTCACTCCATTGCTCTCACTGTGGGCGTTAGCTTTGTGATGATTATATCAGCTCCCTGCTGACCTCACAGCGATGTCTGCCAGCATCCAGGACGCCGGCTCCAACTGTATTTCAGTCCCACCTGCATTGTGGCCCGCAAATACCGCTCCGGCCGTGAGTGTAGATAAAGAGTATCAATGGAATACTGGGGCGAGGTTGGGGGTGGGTGGCATCAGGTCAGAGGTCAGTCCCACACTGGCGCATTTGTCAGGAGCAGTCACTGGGGTGGAAGCCCCTGTCCCATGTGACTCCCTGCACGTACATGCTTCAGAAAGCCCGGCGGCTCTGCCAGGCACTTTGTGAGAGTGGGATCCCCAGCCAGTGAAAGGCCAGCTTCAAAATGGCGCCCTGGTGATCACAGGGCACAATGTGGCCGAGGGTCACCGTTTCCAGATCACCTGCCTTGTAAACGGGCGCAGCGTCTCAGCGGCAGGGTGAGAGGGGGGGGAAGGAGGGTGGGGTGAGGGGGCAGTAGGGAGAGGGGAGGGAGGGTGAAGTGAGGAAGGATGAGGCGAGATGGGGGAGAGTGAGGTGAGGGAGGGTGAAGGGAGCGTGAGGGAGGATGTGGATGGGAAGGGTGAGGTTGAGGGTGGGTGAGGTTGAGGGAGGATGAGGGAGAGTGAGATGGGTGTGGATGAGGGAGGGTGAGGGAGAATGAGGTGGGTGAGGGAGAGGTGAGTGAGGAAAAATAAGATGGGTGTGGATGATGGAGAGTGAGGACGAGGTGGGTGAGGGAGAGTGAGGACGAGGTGGGTGAGGGAGAGTGAGGCGGGTGTGGGTGAGGGAGGATGAGGGAGAGTGAGGTGGGTGTGAGTGAGGGAGGGAGAGTGAGGTGGGTGTGGGTGAGGGAGGGTGAGGGAGAGTGAGGTGGGTGAGGGAGGGTGAATGTGAGGGTGGGTGAGCTGAGGGACAGCACTCGGAGGGAGGGTGAAGGTGAGCTGAGGGAGGGTGAAGGTGAGCTGAGGAAGGGGGAGGGTGAGGGTGAGGG